TCTCCCGCTTGTGGCATTTGTCACAGCAGCCCTAGACAGCCGAGTCCGTGCGGCTGGCATTTGGACACCTTCTGCTTTGTAGGATGTTGACTTTCATTCTTGGTGTCTACCCACCAGCTGCCCCTAAGAGGTCAAAACCATCCTGCGTGCCCCTCACCCCCCTCTGAAAACCGCTGAGCAAGAGAACCCACGAAGACAGGGCTGCCTGCACTGTGCACGTTGCGTAAAGCGAGTCTCTCCTGAAGAAAAACCCACCTCGACACGAATGGCAGTCTTCACCCGATGATCAAGAGATGTCAACAAAACACAACAGAACCAAACCTGCCCAAGCCGATGCCATCCAGCAGACTCTAGCAGACTCTAAGCGCTCCACAGGGAGCTTCAAGGCTCGATCTTGGGAAGCAGAGTGCCAGGCGTTCTTCCGAGCAGCCTCTGGGCAGACTGGAACCTCCAACCACGCAATTAGCACCAGACAGTGACTCTCCAGATCCTATCTTCCGTGGGAGGGCTGGTTGTCTGGAGGCTGTGCCAGCGCTGTGATGCTAAGAGTTCCCTCTCAGTAAGGGAGCGTCCTCCGGGAGGCTCCAGTCCCTGCTGCTGCTCCATTAGCCACAAGCTTCAAATGGACACTTGAGTGAAACCGCTTTTCTCAGCAGGGGGCCCAGGTCCACGACTTCCTAAGGGACACTCTCGGGCCTGAAAGAGTCACCACCCTCCCTGGGCGGAGACACTGGCTCACGCGGTCAGGGCTGGTTTAGATCATTCAGCTCAGACCGCTTCAGGATTCAGCATTTAGTTTGCTGGAAATTCAAACAGATTTCATTGGGCAGGGTGGTCTTCACTGCGCTGGGTCCTGCTGGAGGGTCCAGTGTCCCACGCGTGCACACACTGGTGTCTCACGTGGCTGTCCTCGTGGCGCCTGGGCTCCCTCACTGGACGGTGGCAGGCAATGATGAGAAAAACCAGGCAACACCCGCACTGTGCCAGGAGCTGACTCTTTCCCGGGGATGGCGATGGTGGTGACGGTGGGGTTCTATTGCCCCGCCTCCCACCCATGACAGAGGGGCAAAAACAAAAACAGTGTCACACGGGCAGAGGTGGGGCACGCAGTTAGGGTAAGAGGACCATGGACTCACTATCCTCCTGGCGAATCCCGGGTGGCACAGTGGGTTCCGTGCCTGGTTGCTCTCTGCAAGCTCAGCGATTCGAAACCAGCAGCTGCTCCTTGGGGAAAGAGGGAGGCTTTCTACTTCCATACAGTTACACCCTCTGAACCCACAGAGGCAGCTCTCTTCTTCCCATGGGGTGGCTATGAGTTGGCGGTGCGTTTGGTTTGGAGTTACAGTGAACCCTCGCCACTT